GCTCTGCAACCTGCTGAGGACTGGGCTTCTTTGCCTTCTCTGCTGCCTTTGCCTTTTGCTTTGCCTTGCCCACCTTTGGAGTTGGGCCTGCCTCCTCTACCATCTCTGGCTCCTCTGCAGAATAAAAGACCGCGCGGCCCTGTCCGGCCACAGTAATCCATTCCCTGACATAGGCCAAAAGAGTGGTTGGATCTGGCAAAACCTCGGCTTCTTCTCCAAACATAACCATAGGCTCTTGGAGCTCCATCCCCAACACAAAAGGCCGCATTGCAAGCAAAACGTCTAAGCTGACATCTACCACCTGCACATCCATAGACTCTTCTGTAGGCACCAACTGACCATCCAGGAAACGTGCGGAAGGGATAGTCAGCACAGTATGTGGCCCTAATAGAGACTGCTCTGCATGTTGTGCTGCTGCCTGCAACGCCTCTGTAGGAATGAAGCCCAGGGGAACTGCTAAAAGGACACCTCCCTCTCGCTTCACCACAACCATACACTGGCCTGACATGCCATCCTCTAGAGGAACATCGATGGGCCAACAGAGGAGATAGACCTCTTGAAAACCGTCTTGAATTGAACTCACTGCTGCGAGGTCCATTGACGCGGCGCCGATGGAAAAGCCACTCCGGCCCCTGCACAGTAAACCTTAGCTTCTGCCTGTGAACCAAAGCCGTGCGACAAAGTGTCGCTCTTGAAGTCGCCCACAATCGCTCGGTAGGCACTGGCGGAGGTGACGTAGAGAGGGCAAAGGTACCCTTGGGCTCTGAGGACCACGTAGATAGAGTTTGCAACGTCGCAAGGTCGCGACGGTCTGGGCTTTTGGATTCTGCCTTCCAAAACGAACTTGGCCCAGCAACCACTCTCCCAGGCCCGCTCTGCTCTCTGACAAGCGGAGAGTGTACCAGCCGCCAGGCGACCACACAAAGCCACACAAAAATCAGGCACAACCGGAATCTCCTCAGCAAGGGCGTTATACTGGCTGGATCTTGAGACCCCAGACACCGAACTGGTATCTGAAGGAGCAGGGTAGGCACTTGATGCTTCACCTGCAGGCCCGGAGGCCGGCAAAGGGGAGCTGCCGATGACCAAACTAAGTCTCTCAACAGCTCGTGCCAAGGAACTGACCTGCTCTCCTAAGGTATCAACTCTCCCACTCAAAGAATCCACCTTATCGCTGAGGTTGTCGATCCTGGACCCTTGCATGCAAATAGCCTCTCAGGCGATGAAAACGAGCCTCTTGCCAGGAGGCAGGGGGTGGACCCCTCTGGGGAGCAGGAAGATCACGCAGGAAAGCACCCAGGACGAAGTAGCAGATGAAGAGACAAAGGGCAAATCCAAGAAAAAATCCAAGAATGAGACAGAGTAGGAGGGATGATGCCGCAGGGGATCCACAATGGGATGGGCAACCTAAACCCCACCAATTAGTGAGGAGTCCCCACCTAAAAATCTCAACACCTTGGAGAAACCTGGCCACCACTTCGACCATGAAAGCTTGAGCACCAAAAATTCACAGGCGCCATCGTCCTTACTCATCCATCCAGCTAGCTAGCTATCTATCTAGCTAGCTATCTATCTAGCAAGCTAGCTATCTATCTAGCAAGCTATCTATCTATCTAGCTATCTATCTACCTATCTAGCTAGCTATCTTGCTAGCTATCTATCTACCTATCTAGCTATCTAGCTAACTATCTATCTAGCTATCTAGCTATCTAGCTTTCTATCTATCTAGCTATCTATCTATCTAGCCATCCAGCTGTCTATCCAGCTATCTAGCTATCTAGCTATCTAGCTAGCTAACTATCTATCTACCTATCTAGCTATCTAGCTTATCTATCTAGCTATCTAGCTATCTAGCCATCCAGCTGTCTATCCAGCTATCTAGCTATCGAGCTATCTATCTAGCTATCTATCTATCTAGCGAACTATCTACCTATCTATTTAGCTATCTATCTATCTATCTAGCTATCTATCTAGCTACCTCTTTATCTATCTAGCTAGCTATCTATCTATCTAGCTATCTATCTAGCCATCTATCTATCTAGCTATCTATCTAGCCATCTATCTATCGAGGTATCTAGCTATCTATCTCTCTAGCTATCTATCTATCTAGCTGGCTATCTATCTATCTAGCTATCTATCTACCAAGCTATCTATCAGCTATCTATCTATCTATCTATCTATCTATCTATCTATCTATCTATCTATCTATCTATCTATCTATCTATCTATCTATCTATCTATCTATCTATCTATCTATCTATCTATCTATCTATCACATGTAATCCTGTCAGCTTTCCAGAGAAGGTTAGTTCGCAAAAACCAACTAATGTAACTTGGGTTTAAGTTTAAATAAAAAAAAGCGGGAGGGGGGGATTGGGGGGAGGGCGCAGCGCCTCCCCCCAAAGCAGAATGCAAGCACCTCTTCTCACATGTTACGTTGCTAGTTTTCAAGAGAAGGTTGGTCATGTGATACTCAGGGATGTAAATACTGTGCAAAATGCATCTTACATGAAAATCAAGTATTTAAAGCAGGCAAAGCAAAAAAAAAAGCAGAGAAGCAAAAAAGCAGAGAAGCAAAGAAACAGGAAACGCACAAAAGCAAAACAGCAGAAAGGCAAAGAAGCAGGAAAAGCAGAAAAGCAGAGAAGCAGGAAAAGCAGGAAAAGCAGAGAAGCAAAGAAACAGGAAAAACAGAAAAGCAAAAAAGCAGAAAAGCAGAGAAGCAGAGAAGCAGGAGAAGCAGAAAAGCAAAAAAGCAGAAAAGCAAAGAAGCAGAGAAGCAGGAGAAGCAGAAAAACAAAAAAGCAGAAAAGCAGCAGGAAAAGCAGGAAAAGCAGGAAAAGCAGGAAAGCAGAGAAGCAGGAAAAGCAGGAAAAGCAGAGAAGCAGGAATCCAAAAATAATTCCTAAACCTGATCAAAAAAAAAATCCTAAAATAATTAGCCCTCCATTATATAACCATCGAGAATTCTGGGTTTACTGTTGGGTTATCTCCATTGCACTCATCCTGGATGTGCATCGGCTGGAATATTCCGACTTCCGGGGCTTTGATTGGGAACACGTTACAACTATGTCACGTTGCGCAGTGCCCATACTCGTTTACCTATAACGAATTCTATGCAAATACCATATTAATCTATATGACTAGATCACTATGTGACAATGGGCACAGGGTTCCACACACCTAAAAATACAACCAGCCTGGCTGAGCCTCCTGAAAAATGTGAGAGCAACAACGACAAGTTTCTTCACTTTTGTGGGCCTAGATCACGCGGATCACGTGTTCCCATGTATCCAACAAGCCACACTTCAAGCAGTCTGGTTCTGCTGTCGATCATGAAGGCTGCTCTCGCTCTGCTTACAATAGCGCACTGTAGAAGATGGCCTTGGGCTTCAATAGAACCTTAAAACATCTTGAAACTACAAGGAAAAAAGGCAGACCGCAGTAGATAGCCGCTCTTGAGATTAAACAAGGCATTTCATGATCTGATTAGTTGATCATATTTGATCGCAGAATTATGGGATATTATGGGGCCATGCCTCAAAGATCCGCGCCAGTGCAAACAAAAAAAATCTGGTCCAAAGAGCGCACCCAAAAGAGGATGCCTACTTCATGTCGAGGCCAAGGCAGAAACGAGCTCAGCAACGAGCTCAGCAACGAGCTCAGCATCCCAAATCAAGGGTTGCCGGTGCATAAATTTGCAAAGTGAAAGCTGGGGGTGACATCTGTGGCCCTCAACAGAAACCTAAAACTTAGATATCTTAGGCTGAAATCCCACAATTTAGGTGTCACAACAGGCATCCTCGGAGACCATCCATTTTTTCAGCGTCCGGCTGTCACCAGCTTTCGGATATGGCTGCATGCAAAGACTCGGTGCCAAGAAGCACAGCTATATGACCCCATGACATCCCATGACGATTATTGTGAAATTGCCATGGTTGTGTAACAATTAACACTTGCGAGCTAAATATGTATAGTATTGTATAGTTGAGAAGGATTAAGAAGGAAGTCCGCAGAGAGGTTGATTCGAATGCAATCTGACTGTCCATGCCTGCAACATCCCTCATGAAATCTGCGAGTTACTCAGGTTCTTTTGGTTGACATTTGGTTGACATTGCCTCTTGGTATTTCTTTTGGTATTTCTTGGTTCTTCGATGTTCTTCGGTTCTTGGGTCGACCTTGGAATTTGGGCACCGAACTTTGCATGGGATCGTCCCTTCAGGATCAATCAGCGTCTAAATCTGCCAGCCCAATGATCCCATTAGCAGTCGAATCGAGTGGTGAACGATGACCGCGCCACTAACCTCCATGGTATGGTGAAACCTTGTCATGGCGGCGCCCGCGAAAGGGTGGCTGTGGAAACACCTAGTTGAAACACGTACCGTCCAATTCCTTAACATAGCTATGGAAAATGGCCCATTTAGTTCGATGAATGAATTATATACCATGTTTTGCCTAGTAAAAATTGTGCTTTTACCACAGCTATAGTGTATTTCCAGAGTGTAATTCTTGCCGCATCGTGCTATTTTTGTAAGGATAATGGGACCCAAGGTGCAGTAGAACCAGGCAAAAAGGTGGTGTGAAATTCATGGTAACTCTGGCAGGGCGTCGCCATGACTAGCCGGCAGGCAAGCTTGACTTGTCCCTTTTCAATGACATGAAGCCTCTAGCTCTGCACCAACTGAATACATCTGGAAAGCCTTGGTGAGAAATGCAGAAAGAAAGCTTGTAGGTGTGATTGCTGATCGTGTGATCACATTCCTTATATTAGAGGCTGCGAATCTGACTGCATAGGCTTGTCAGATCTTGTCAGCATTCCTTTTTCTGGACAGCGATAGTATCTTGACTCTTGACTGAAATTCCGCAAGCCTCACATGGCATTGGTTTTCTCACAGAACCCCCGCGGTGTCTACATGATGCCAAAATATGACGCATTTTACGGCTGGGACCATGTCATTGTTGGCCGGTGCAATGTGTCAGTCCGCGCGTTGCTCGCGCGTTTATTCCGCCAGTATCGACCGACGTTTGCTCGAAGCATGTGCTTTGGTAAATCCACCTTCCACCACCTGTCCACCGATCGACTCCACCAGCTCTGCCAATTTTGACACGTCCTCCTTGAACTTCCTGCAGGTCAACGGGCTGGAAAAGCATTGTCATGGCTTTGTCCTGTTCTTCACCTCGAATCGCTGATGTAGCCAGTTGTATCAACTAACATGTGCCACTATCATTTCGTATCATTATAAATATATATATATAACTCGATTGTTTGGATATAGTCTTTCATCACGGTGCAGACCTTGAACATAGCTTTCATAGCTTTCCCAATTTGGTTTCCATGCCCCAGCCCAGCGGTCATAAAATCCAACTTGAAGACAGCCAGATCCATGCTCTTTGCAGGTCCTGATCATTGCCGAATCACAACACCCGCCTTGAGAGTCCAAGCATTTCCAGGTTCAATGAGCGTGAAGTCTGTTGCCGGAAAAAGGAGGTTGCATGTCTTCAAAACAAATAGATTAATCAATGATTAATCATTAATCAGTATATCATGTATAATTCGGAAGAATATAAACTGTGAATCTAGAAGTAGAGTGATCTATCAATCTATCTCTCCAGGCAAAGGACTCAGAATTACCAAACCCATGGGCTGGCCAGGACAGCCCTTGAATTCACCCGTCCTTTTAAGCGCGCCACACCCTCCACGAGCCTCAGAAACTGCTGGAGTAGAACATGATTCCAAGATATTCCTGGCGCTTCCTCTGGAGGTTGTTTTGTGGGGGTCGACCACTATTGATACCACCAAAAAGTGATGTTGCACCCCACTTTTAGTGGGAAAATGTACCACCGCCTCTTGCTTGCATCCTCTGCCGGCCTATCTGCAAACCAAGCGGCTCCATAGCGGTCAGCGCAGCGTCGCCATCGTCCAACAGTCTGCGAGAAGAATTTGGAAGACTGAACACTCACTGACTGAGATAGACATGGTGGCACTGAACGCAAGGTCCACTACCTGCTCCAAAGTGGACAAATCACTTCCTGGAAAGGGAGAAACAATGTAATTCCAACAAAAATGGTTACATGGATCACATTCCATCACGCTCCTGGCCTGAAGAGGTTCGCCGCTGCTTCGTTCGAATCTGAGAGCGGGTCAAACGCAAATGGCAGCAAAATGCAGCAAATGCTTGGAAGCACAGCAGTCTACTAACTAAGCAGCACCTATTTCACCCTTTGATGCACATCAATTACAGGAGTCTGCAACCGGCGAGCGTCCACCTGTCGCTCCGGTTTGCAACCTGCTCCCTGCCAAAATCACCTGCTGACCTCCCAAATTGCTTAGATCACATCCAGCTTAGCACCTGCAAACTCATCTCCAGAAACTTCTTAACGGTGATTCTATAATTCTATAACCCAACTGCTTCTCTTCAAGCCCTACTCAAGGTGATCTACATCTCTCTGGGTTGCCCAACTGATGCTCAAGTCCTGTGCGGCCAACCAGGTTCGAACTGAGGGGTTCTCCAGCACTTGGATAAACTCCTGGCGGAATCCGCTGGGTCCCAGGCCTCCCAGGCCTCCCAGGCCTCATGGTACATTTGATGCGCTTTTGCTTGTGTTCACTTGCGCGACCCCCATGGGTTTCAATTCCATACACATCATACATGATTTGATTGAAAGGATCATGCCAGGATGTGACAGGTGGGGATGGAATTGACCAATTTCAAAATATGTCAAACCACCGCACAGATACTGTAAGAACTGGTTGCCAGAATTCATAGAGCCCCATGGCGAAGCTCCTCCATGTCGAGGATTCCATCACCAGATTCATCCGCGTGCTCAAACCTTGGCACACGTCTTTACTTCGCAGCAAGGGAAGATGCCGAGAAAGGCTTAGCCTTTTGGCTTTTCTGGATCTAATCTAAAATCACCAAATGATCACCACATATGTATGTGCATATATATATATATATGTGTGTGTGTACGCATCATATCCCAAACAGGATCCAAGGATGGCAAAGTCTGTGGCTGTAACTGTAACACATCCTCTTATTTGATCTGTGACACCAAAAATCTGGCAATCCAAGGCACAATCTCTTCATCTTCTTGGTGTGCAGCTTTTTCTCGCGGTCCTTAGCTGACACCATCCACGATGAACTCATGGGATCTCATGGATCAAAAAAAGGCTATCGCAACCCATCAAAGTTGGACTATCTTGGGCTCGATGGTGATATATGGTGATTATGGAGTCTGAATCTGACCCCTACTGGATCCTGAAGAAATCTGAAGAATCCCCTCTACCCATCACCTGCCGAGCAACTCTCTGGCGCATCATGATCTTGTCGTCCGAGCCAGCAACTTTGAACGTCTCCTCCAGGCTGTGTTGGTGTCATGTCACATTTGTCATGGTCAACACATGGGATTCGTGGCATGGTCCGTCCCATTATGTGAAACCTTTCTGAATCCCTATTCATGGATTGATGACCATCCCGCAATGTGGAAAATTGCTTATGTGTTGGCTGTGTCGCATGTTTCGCTCATGGGGTCTGGAAAACTATGAGCCCCTAGGTTCCAACAGCGTCCCAGTTGAAGTGCCTGCATAAACACGCCATTGATGACACCAATGACGGCGAAACCAATGGTGACTTTATGGGCGATCGAGAAGGCAAAGTACCATTCGCTCACCTTGTCCTGTAGAATCCTGAGTTCTGGAGATCTGGAGCCTCCTCTTCCGTACCAATATAAATCATTATTGAATATTATTGATACGGTGGATGGAAGAAATCCTGCACCAGTTGACAGGTGGTTTATCCCATCATTTATAGGGTTTCAACCATCCAAGGTGGTGCAGGATTTCTTCCATCCACAGTATTATTATGGATAGTAGTGACATTTATTATCATTATTATTGAATACCAATATCATTGATATACAAATGTCATTATTGAAGTCCTCTACTTATTGCTCGGCACAACTCTCCGGTCGAACCTTGACATCCAACCTTTGTGCAGCCACAGCACCGCGCAATCACTGGCCAGTTGCCCAACGTAAGCCTCAGGAACATGTTCACCATTCTGGACTAAAGGGCTGTCCATATGGGATTATATGGGATTAAAACATGATTGAAATGCAACGGGCATTGCAAACTGCAATTTTCCCTTTTCAAACGCCTGAATAACAGCAAGTTCACTTGTTAAGACAACATCCTTGGAAGACTCAACCTGAAATGCTTTCCTCGGCCTATCAACAGATTGCAGAAGCGCCTAGACCTGTCTGAATGTCGTAAAAAAAGCACCTGAGAATGGCATGCAATCATTAGAAAGTGCTTTAAAGTCATCAGCAACAAGCAGAGCAAGTGCATGCCCTTTGTAATTCTAGATTGTAGGCAGCAGCTATCATTGTTACCACCTCTCATGCATCCAAGAAACTCAAACATGCTCAGAATAGCTCTCGAGCATGTGCCAAAGTAGGCAAAGACTTCGTGGCGATCAGCTTGCGGAAAGGTACTCAGTGGAGGTTCGTCAATGGGGCTCTGTCCAAGTCGGGTCCCAAATAGGGTATCAACATGTATCAACGTGTATCGTATCAACCATATAAAGGATCCAATAGGATCTTGATGGATCTTGCAAATCTGGCTTTCAGCTTTCGGAACACCGCACCTTCAAGGCCTTGGAGCCTACCCGCTGTGACCACGGAGGCAGCACAGTCGAATGCCGTATCGACGGTCCCATGGAAACTTGATGCTGGATATCAGAGTATGTACATTCAGATAAAAAAATGTATAATATATATGTGTGTGTGTGATGTAATGTAATATAATGTAATGTAATGTACTGTACTGTAACGTACTTAACGTAACGTAACGTAACGTTACGTTACGTAACGTAATGTATGTATGTATGTATATGTGTGCCTATGTCTGTATATGTGTGCCTATGTCTGTATATGTGTGTATATCTGTGTGCGTGTGTGTGTGTGTGTGTGTGGTTCGTGTATGTCTGTGTTGAGAATTGAAAACTAATCAATTGCAGAAATTGGTGGTCCATCTAAGCCTTCAACCAAAGTAAATGGCGGGCACTGCGTCAACATCTCTTTAGGATTGAAATCACAATGAGAGGATTGAAACCAAAAATCGACATGATTCCACATAAATGTCGTTCCACGCATATGGAAAGTCAGATAGTAAGTCGCTACTAACGTGGACCCTCATTGATTGTCGCTCTCCTTCAGCATCCACCACTCTCACTGCCACCCTCAGAGTCAAGACACCTATCCAGTAAATAAGTGGCGCTGAGAACCTGATTCAAAAGGAATGCGATCATAATTTGCCTCGGCACAGGCGAATTCGCACCTCTGCTTCAAGTTGCTTCAAGTTTCAAGTGATGTCTGCAATTCCATTGGATCTTTTCGGCTCATCTCATATCATCTCCACGCCCAGCTTGGACCCCAGTGGAACCAGACGGTGTCCTCTGGCAGCTGAGGAACGCCACGAGCAGCAAGATGAAGGACCAGAACAAAACCGCCTCATGGTCACCATGTCCCGATGTTAGGGAGAGGACTGGCCATCTGGATGGAGTCATATCCCGTGATCCTACAACAAAATGACGTGGGATAATCAGGGAAAACCATCCTCAGAACAAAATGCTGACTAAACTGATTAAACCAGCTAGCTGCAAGCAGGGTAACGCAAATTCATAGAGTCATAGAGTATCAGAGTGCTCAAATTGCTCTCAAATTTGACACGCGTCCACCCAGCTGCTCTTCTGCAGCTGTGGCAATTGCACTGTTTTTTCGGACCATAAGTTTAACCCAAGCCACCACACTGCCCTTCATGGCAGTCATCATCAAGTAGAGGGAGTCGAAACCTGAGCCAAAGATCCAATTTAGAATGGCACCCCAGCTTCGTTTGGATTTCAATGCCTTTATCGGAGTCATCCCTACCACGGATGATGTTCAGGTTGTGCCTTGCTATATGCAGATTTGTCCTACTGCGAATTTGGCTGCACACATGGTGAATCAAATCTCCAGCCTGAAAGTTTAGGATAGTTAGTTGGTGTCAACGCCAAAACCATGGGTTCAAAGATTGAAATTCTATGAATTTCTACTATTGAAAGCATGAGTGGAATCCCATGCTGTCGCATGGATCAGAAACCCGCGGAAAAAATAGAATTCCATCTTTCGACTGGCCCCCAATTCCTCTCTTTTCAGCATCAAGTGGCCATGAATCATCCGAATCACCCGCACGAGACCTGGGGAAATGGACCACTGCAACTGCAGCCCACAGCTTGCAGTCAACTCCCTGAAGTGCTGAGGTTTCAATATGATTGCAAGATATTATTCCGAGTAACCAACTCGTGTCCATCCCCAGCTGATGGATAAGAATCCACACATGATCTAGCAGCAAATAGCCCATAATCAAATATGATATGCTGGATATGATATTACTTCATAAACCCATGTCATGTGGCTGCATAGCTCAAGTTCACAATATGGGTAGACAAACGATGCGCCAAACAGCCCATAAAAAACATCGGCACCCTGGCGAATGGCAAGGCGTAGTCGGAGCTAAATGTTCACCCCCAAACTTATTGTAGAAAAACAGAGGTGTTCACCCATACAACTGTATTGGTTAATAAATGTTAGTAACATGTTATAGCCGCATAGCCGATAATTGCATGCGTAATGGGTTCATAATCCATACAAATTGGGAAGTACCTATATTCCAAAGGCATCCCGGTGATGGAGAAATACACCTGAGATACCACCGTTTATGGGTCAAAACCCTGGTACCCTTACCCTAAGGTAGCTGGTTGATGGATGGTTATTCCCTCAAATATGGTAAAGTCCTAGGTTTAAGTATGCATGGATGGATGGATGGATGGATGGATGGATACATGTATGGATGCATGCATGAATGTATGCATGTATGCATGTATGCATGTATGGCTGGATGGCTGGATGCATTTATGCATGTATGCATGTATCGCTGGATGGCTGGATGCATGTATGCATGTATGCATGGATGGATGGATGGATGGATGGATACATGTATGGATGCATGCATGAATGTATGCATGTATGCATACATGGCTGGATGGCTGGATGGCTGGATGCATGTATGCATGGATGGATGGATGGATACACGTATTGCGAATCGGGGATTGCTTGCCCGATTATGTCCTAATTGTCAACGTCAAAGTGGATGTTCCAATGATGACGCAACAAGGGCACCAGCTTCCGCATTGCTATTGTTTTCTCTGTCGCTGCAGTGGGTCTTGAGCCAAAAGGGCGAGTGTCATGCCCTTTGGCTGTGGATCTTAGAGTGTTGAATTATGTAATATTGTACAATGGTCCGTAGCTTACACTCTATTCGCACCCCCCACGCATGGCCAACTTTGTCGGCCACGCGCTAAGGAGTGTCCCTTGAATTGATCCACTACATCTGCAGTTGTTCATTTATTGAATTATGGAGAGCTAAAGTCCGTTCAGAACTTAACGTCTACATGGCGGCTTGCTACGATCTCTACCAAAAGATAAAAGGGTTCTGTTCACGTGCACGTAGACACGACGTAGTCGGTGTCTAGCATTGAGGTTCATCCGATGTGGCGTAGCCAGCATGGAATCCCACTCAAGCATGTGAATTAACGAAGTCAAAACACAAAGTTGACTATGGAACTAGAAGCTTACCTTCCCGTTCCTTCGTCGGTTGAGATGTAGACCGCTGTAGAAACTCAGCGTCTCGTGCAATGATGTTCAAAAAAAAATGTGTGGTTCTAAATTAGTCGGCTCAGAGTCCTCTCAGAAATCATTCGAAATGAAATAGAGGTAAATCTCGAGCAATGATTGCATCCTCGCATCGCCAGGTTCAATCAGGACCTATGCAGAGGTCATATCGATTTATCATTTATATCCCCATCCATAGTATCCCTGATGGTTCCAGTCTCCACCACGGTGCGAATAAGATCTTCCACCTTTTCCTTTGTCTTTTCCACCTTTCTGTGGCGGGGTTACTGGAGCTTGTTTTGGCGGAGGAGCGGTTTCAACTGTTCTCCATGTTGCTGATGATGATGCTTTCGCCTTTGACACCCTGCCCAGTGCTGTTGCCGCTTTCGGGGCTGCTTTCGATTTGCCAGCGGCTTGGTTAGCACGTTCACGATCGGCAGGAGTTGGGGTATCAGCAATCGCAAGTAGGTGGGCGTCAGTCATGTGGATGCCCCATCTTGGTCGTTGATCGTCCCGTTGTTTGATGTGGTTGTAGTCGTCGATCGCATCATACAGCTTCTGGAGTAGAGGTCGTGGCAATTGTCGGCCATTTTGAAGGATCAGGTGCAAAAGTGATATTCTTCGAAGTGCGGGACGAAGAGCACACACAATGTCAACTGGGTTCAGTGTGATTGTGTCTTGAAAGTCGACGTTCCTGAAGAAATAAACAGCATTCACCCTGTATGCACCTGCAATGATTCTTCTGACCATGACGTCTTGTCGGTCAAGGGCGTCGCGGGCCGCTGTGGTCTTCCTCATCTCATCCATCGTTGTGTCACGTTTCGACAGCTTCTCCATCTCTTCATCGAAGAAGATATTTTGCAAGTCTTCATATGTATAACCGCATTCAAGGGTATACACGAGAAGTCGTTTGAGTACCACCGACCCATAGTATGCATTGACGAATCCCTCTTCTCCGATGTCGTCCTTTTGATTTGGTCGGCCGATCTCTTCGTAGAGCTCTTTCATCTGTTGTGCAGTTGGTTCAATGAGTTCACCATTCTCATCCTCGCCTAGGTAAGGCACTCTTGAGTCCAGGTCCATCCTGAATTTTCGGGTCTGTTGAAAATGTTTCCATGCCGTATCGATGTCACCACAGAAGTTCCGTTGGAATAGTCTGTAGATCCTGACGATATGTAATCCAATTTGTAACAGGAGGATTTTGATGAGCTCCGGTTGAGCATCTCCAATTGTGCAAGGCTCGATTGGTAGGACCTTTGATCCGAACTCAATCCGCTTCATCCACTTGGGGTACTCAATCACTGCATCACGAGCTTCTCCAGCCTCATACTCTTCAATGTTGATCTCACCGACCGCAATTTCTTCATCGTCATTTTCATCGGTCGGTTTTCCTTCCTGGTTGAGAAACTTGTCGACCTCATCTTGTTCTCTGAAGTCTCTTTTCTCATCATTGATGTCGCCTTTCTTCGAGGCTTGATCATCGTCTCCCTCTTCTGGTTGAGGTTCTTGTTCTGGACTCTTCATGTTGATGTCATCATCATCTGGCATCATCTCGTCGCCATCACCATCACCTGTCAAATCGATCTTCACCTCCTCCCATGCTTTCTTGACATGGTCTTTGAGATCTTCTTCTCGATGATGTGATTCGGCACTTGGTACTGTAGCCACGGTGATCTTGATTCGTTTCCTCCATCCGTGACTCACCAAAAATCCTTTGCACATCACGCAAATCGATAGTGGCGCAGGGGTCTCCATCAGACATGCGGGGCATAGTCGATGGTCCTCCTTGCTGGGATGATGAGTGACTGCCAACAATGATATTGCATCATTCCAATCCGGATGTCCAGGGAACAATCTGTGAGCATGACTGAAGTGACCGGTCTTGATATCGACAAGCTTTCGAAGTTCGTCCAGATCGGGTGATGATTCATCAGGCACAATGTTCCCAATGAGTTTGTCAAATCGTTCAATGGTGGCCACTCTCCTTGCTCCTTGTACAGAAAGTACGAGTTGATCTTTCCCCTTCGTGATCATAAGACGGTAGTAGTCCTTTTCCTTGCAATCATAGTACCAAACTGCATCGAATGATTCGAATGGAATTGTTTCTTGGACCAAAATGTGTCCGTCTGCTGACAATCGAGGGGAGAACTTGGCAAGGGAGTCGTACGTGATGTAGATGTAGACAAGATCAGTTTGTTCGATCTTCCTGAATCTCAGCACCGACTGACTTCGTACGTCCCACGGTGCGAATGGCACGAAGAACGTGTTGATTCGGTCGCCTCCTCCTCCGGGACGTAGTCCTTCTCTGAAGATTTGAGCGATGTTGTCAAAAGTGGTGCAATGAAATCCTCCTCCAAGAGTATATCCGACTCCAGGGTTCATCTGATAGGAAGTCTTCTTGTCTTCAATGTGCACACCTCCTTGAACTCTTGAATGAGCCATAGGGGCACGGATTGCCACCGGCCATAGCCAAATCTCTCGATCTGCTGTTCCGATTTCCAATCTCAGCGTTTGTCGTTCAAGTCTCGAAGTCAATTCGTCATTGAAGTTGTTCATGATGTGTTCCAACTCACCTTTCGTGACTTTGAGTCCTAGCACTTGAGCTCGGATCCTTTTCGTCTGCTTGTACTCAGTGAAGATCACTCTCTGGAAATTGTTCCACCTCTCAACAAGTATTGGGTAGTTGACGCGGGTCGTTCCAGCCAATGTATGTTGGTCTCTCCAAATGTTGTCATACTTCAAGATCGATTCGACATTGACCCAACCTGCTTCATCGCATGGTAGTCCACGGTGGTTTCGATTGTCTTTGACGCAACCCACGGAGTGGCGTAGCGCTGCATTGAATCTTTTCGACAATTCGACTATCCATTGCGGATTGTCCCACTTGTCTCCCATCCACTCATTCTCGCCATATCGATGCACCCTACACCAGCCCATTCCCAGATATTCTTCTCCATTGATGCGAGCAAGTTGAAGTGTACCAATGTTATGGCCATGTGTGAATGGTTGGATGTACTTGAAGTTCCAGTTGTCTCCACGTTGTTTCCTTTCTTCGGTAAGCCATTTCACATATGCATCATGATCTTTGGGGTTCCAAGCGTTCAGCTCTTCAATGTTCGGCAGAACAGGTGGGGATTCCTCAGCCGCACGTTCAATCAGCATGTCAAGCTCGTGACGATTCTTCACACCTCGGCTAATTGGGTTGACTTCGACGCCATTCACTAAGTACTGTCCTCCTTCTTCACGATCACCAATGTCGTACATATAGGCTGACTGACTGTAGAAGCATTTGGTCACTTCTTCTTTCTCAGTGAATCTGGTTCTTCCCCAACGTTTTCCTCGTGGCATGACGTTCTTTGGGAGCTTGTCTTTCCTGCCTCTTGTCGCGGCATTGGATTTCTCCGAAGATGATGGAGATTTGGACTTCTGATCCATGATCAACCTCATGCGCCATAGGGAGTCCCTCACTTTCTCATCATCTGGTGTGGTACATTCATCAATGTCATGCATTCCACCACAAATGAGACAATATTGGACACTCTGTGCATCTGCAATCAGCTTCTCAAATCGATCACGGATGTCCCGCACCTCAGTTCGGCGCTTCTTCGCCTCCGAAGGTTGGCCCCCCACGTCATCTTCCTCCTCCTCAATCTCGATGTCACCGGCTCCGGCATCGGTTTCTCCTGAAGTTTGTTCTGCTCGAGTGCCCCGCGCCGTAGGCGTCGTGGTCTCGTCTTCAGGTTCGCCAACTTCATTCTCCTCCTCATCGCTTGAAGAGATCTCAATCATCTCAGGATGGTCGTCGTAG